ACTTGGCCTTGTTGAACATCATGAGTTTCCCACGTGCCCACCTCCCCAGCCTGCCCAGGTCCCTCTGGATGACATCCCTTCCCTCCAGCGTGTCGACCTCACCACCCAGCTGGGTGTCGTCCGCAGACTTGCTGAGGGTGCACTCAACCCCACTGTCCACGTCACCGACAAAGATGTTAAACAACCTTTGAACGGTTAGAGCAGGTAGAATCTGAAGAGGGGCTATTTGTTCAGGAGCTGTATTTAAACTGTTCTTTGGGTGGTTTACATGGCCAAAGCCGTAATTCCGAGGCATTGGGTTACTGCCAAATTGGTCGCTAGTGTGAACAGGGTGGTAGGCCAAAAGCCAGTAGAATACGTAGTGGGCGTCGTGGGACTTCAACATACGTTGCAACCCAAAAGTGATCGTAAGAAGCAAAGATTTAAGCATACTTTTAGATTCTAATGATGGTGCTTTTTAACAGCTGCTACTCTTGAAGGAGGATTTTGTCTTTTTTTCAGTGGGTGTAGCAGTGCTTTTTGTAACTTTTCTCAATTGTATGTTACCTTCCCTACTGATCTTGTTAGCTAACTCCTGCCGTTCCTGGAGCTTTTGCTAGAAACTGCCCTGAAGAGGCTTTTGCATCTGTCTTGTTTTCTAGGATTTTGCCTTACTGTTTTTATTTCTGCTTGTTATGACCAGTTCCTCTTATTCCACACTAAAGAGAGAGTCCTGTGGGTAATCAAGAAAGGAAAAGGTTTTGTAGAATTTATTGAGAAAGTTCAGAAATAGCTAAAACAACATCAGATACAGCAATTTCAGTGTCTCGGTTTTAAATCCCTTAGAGTTGCATTTGTGGAATGACTTGAAGTGGCTGCGAGTCTTGGTTCAGTTTTTGGAGGTAGGACTTGTTTTGGTTTTAAATCTGTCTGTTCACATCAACATTGTGGACACAAAAGGTAGCGTTTAGTTGCCTGAATATTGGCGTCTGATGTCATCTTAGATGATGTGGCCAGATGCCCTTATGGGCGTCTTAGATACCTACAGCGTCTTGAGTTGTCTCAGGTTGTTTAGGCAACTGAATCCCATTCTAAGATCATGACTTGACTGTGAGATCCTGTGGAGGAGCAGCTTGGACAGGATTTTAATTGATATCTGATAGCTTATGCTGGTTATCAACAGAGAAGGATGTGGTTCAGGATTTTTTTCCACATTCCTCTCTTGAGTGAGGTTTACTGCTTCTTGGCCCTCTGATAAGTGACTGAGCTTCAGAATAAAGCAAGAATACAGGGGGATGTGTACCAAAAATAAATCTAATGGTTAAAAAAAAATCATGAGTTATTTAAAGCTGAAACAACACTTTAATATTTGAGACTTTCTTTGGAGAAGTTTACGAATGTATTTGTTGAGTTTTTGGTTTTGCCCAGTTTCTAAAATAATGAACAAACAATAAAAATACCAAACAGCCTGTTTAAGCAAAATAAAGCATAAACAGTACTGTCCCTGAACTCTTGGTTAAAATAGAGCAAAAGTTGTGTGCGCATGAAAATAGGATTATTGGTCATGCTGTGCAATCATCTTGATATTTTTATCAGAGTCCTTTTATTTTCCTGTTTGTGGCTGCAGCTCATGATGCTGGTTACTTTAATGCTGAGATGGCACCAATTGAAGTGAAAACGAAAAAGGGGAAAGAAACTATGCAAAAGGACGAGCACCCGAAACCCCAGACCACTCTGGAACAATTGGCAAAACTCCCATGTGTCTTTAAAAAGGATGGAACGGTCACTGCTGGGAATGCTTCAGTGAGTATGTCAAAGCCTTGGGTTGTGAAAGCGTCATGTCTAAGGTTCTCCAAATTTATTGTCACTGTATTTATGACTTGCCTTTGGCTGTCAGCGGTGTCTCCTGACGAAAATGATTTCTCATTCTGCAGTTGAATGCCCCTGCTTGACTGTTCCAGCCCCAAGATGGCAGGGGATCCTTCAGTCTGCTCCCGTGTCCTCAAATTTGGTTCTGTGGATTGTCACTGTTCTTTTAGTGAGGCACTGACACTTCCTCATCAGCCTTGAATTATGGGGTTGATACCTGCAGGGGCTGTATAGAATTAGCCATTCTACTTTCTTTTGGGGACAACGATTACTTGCTTTACAAATCACGCATTATATTAGTGGGCATGCTGCTGCTGCTCCTCTTTGCACCACAATTAGTATCTCTGTAGTCCAAACCACATTTTGCTTTTGCCCAGAGTAGACTGGGTCCTTAGCAGCATGTCATTACGGACTATTCCTCTTCCAGTCATTATCTTAATCAATTGATTAATGTTCTTTGGGCCAGAAGGACTGCTGTGATCATATAATCTGAATTCCTGCCTAAAATAGATCATAGCCACAGTAAGTATGGGTGTCTGTAAAGTATCTTTTATAATTAATAGTACATACATTATCCAATATTAATAGCGTTCTTGCAAGTCTACAGAATCATGTTTCCAGTGTAAGGGAGACTTTAAGTAGCAAAAAATGTATTTTACTTTTCTAAAACATTGAAATTAATTAAACATCAATATTTAACTTTCTTTCACGGTCCACAGGACAGTGAAAGATTGTGGTTTGTTGTTTTGAATAAACACTAATACAATTGACTGTTAAATGTTAATAATAGTGTCTTAGACTCAAGCTTTTTTTGAGGGAATATTTAGTTTACCATGTGGGGTTTTTTTGTGTTTATTTTCTCCACTAAGAATGCTTTTCTCTCTTATTTGCAAGGGAGTGTGTGACGGAGCTGGCGCAGTCATCCTTGCCAGTGAATCAGCACTAAAAAAGCACAGTCTTACTCCTCTGGCAAGAGTAGTAGCCTATCACTCAGCTGGCTGTGACCCTTCCATAATGGGCATTGGTAAGTTGCAATAAAGCACATTATTTTGTAGCATCAAGCAGCGTTAAAATATTCTCGTGTTGGGCATTCTAAAGGCAAAAAAGGGAGGCTGCAGTCTGTTGAGTTTGGTAGCGCTGAAGGATGTTTGTGTGGCTTACTACAGAGAGACTGTCCCTTCCACTGCACCCATCCATCCCTCTTACGCCGAGGGACTGACTTACTCCTCAGTTTTGCTGAAGGGGTACGTGCAGTGCCTGACCTATAGCGTTAGCACTGAAATGTAGTCCCCCAGGCACCTTTTTCTTCCCCCCATTTTTCACTTGCTCTGTCCGTAAATCAAGAAAATAGGGACTCTCTCAATGCTTTTTAAAACCAGTTTTCTCCTGAAATTCACTTTAGTTTCCTGTAAGCTTTAAATCCCATTACTAAACGTGTAACTATGAGTTGTCTTCCTCACCCCTTGCTGGAGGAGTATTGGCTATGTGTACACCTTTCAGCAGTTACTCAGTTGCTCAGCTAAGATTGGATTCCAGGATACACATCTGTTCAGGTACTATTTTGGCAAACCAACTACTCCTCTTTTTTTGTTAGTGTAATATTTTATGCTTCCTAATCGAGTAGCTGCTACCGCAAACAAACCCTCAAAGCCAATCCGGACACCCCAGGATTTTTTTTCCCTTCTGTTTAGTTTGTAGACAGCATTGTATCCCAGCATCGCTTTTCCTTTCTGCCATTCTGTTCAGAGAAGTCATTGTTGACTGGTTCCATGTGTCAGTAGAAATGCAAATGAAGCATTGTCAGATTTGTTTTCTCGATCAGACTATCGGACTAACACAACCTTCAAAGCAAGTGTAGAGGGAGGGTTTCTTTCGCTAGACTTCATGCTGTCATTGTACTTTCTAAACTAGCCCATTCTTTCTAGGTCAGGCAACTCTTTTAGCTTGTTTAAAAACTTCATAAATCATACGGAGAAACAGTTAGTATCCTAACTCCTTAACACCACGGCAACTCCAAAAGACCAGATGAGATTCATCGACATGACAGCAACAAATCTGAGAACAGGAGCTCAGACTGAGCAACTGCCCTTTCACATACTGATAGTGGTAGGGAGTCCTGCCTCACAATGTCTAGTGAGAGAATTCATTATTTTTAAAAAAAGAAGAGAGACAGAAAGAGAGAGGGAAAAGAATCTTGGCTGTCATTAATGGTCTTTGTATTGTCCACACGAGACCCTCCCATTACTCTCACGCGTAACGGGCATACTAAAATCCGTCCGTAATGAGATGCATTTAGAGTCTAGTATTAAGCCACCTGAGGCTTTCTAGTGATCCACTGAGCTTTGAACTGGGCCTTTTCTTCTTTTAATTTTTCTGCCTCTTTGGTCACTTACGTATTTTTATGGGTTTTATTCTTTGAGCTATGAGTTGTCAACACTATTTTTGGTAGTGAGATAGCATTTAGGATTGGGTTTCTTTGTCTAATGATCATCTACCATCTAACATCTCAATATCTTTGTCCCACAAGCACATACCTAATTAACCCTTTCAAATTTTCTTTGAGTGTCTCTTTCCTTAGGTAGCTGTGCTTTGAGACTAGTCTCTGCTAGTGGATTATACTAAGTTGTAGGTGTCAGCTTTCTTCCAGAGAACAGTTTTATTGCCAAACTCTGTGATATTCTCCAAAAAAACCCAAATCTTACTGGCTTCAGCTGGCTGGGACCTGGGTCCAAGAGAACATTTTGTTGTTAGTTTTTTTGACCAGAAGATTTTCAGGTAAATTAAGAACACTGAAACAATGATATCCATAACTAAACACATGACCAGCAAACTCCTGCCTTTTTTTCTTTTTTGTATACCTGGAGGCTGCAAGTTGTGAGGAAAAAATAAGCTGAACCAAGAGCACTGGGAAGGAGAATGCCTCAAAACTGTCATGAAGTTGTTTTATTTGGCTGGGGACTGTCAGTTCTCTTGACTTGAAAGCTACGTGTGCATTTCCCAACGTAGCTGTGCAGGAGTAGCGACACTCCTAACTTTCCCTGGCAGTATGTTGAGAAGGCTGCCAAATAATTTTGAGATTTAGGAGTTCTTGTACCACCTAATAAAACAGGTGAGGGGCATATCCAGAATTCACTGGCTGCTCAGAGGCTCATGGGAGGGGGTCTGATGAGGTCTTATGAAGCTATCCTATGTATAACATGTTTATAAGCCTTTATTTTTTTTTTTTTTTTTATTTAACTAACTGTGCATACAATTTCCAAATAGGCCCTGTACCTGCCATTACCGAGGTTCTGAAGAAAGCAGGATTGACCCTGAAGGACATGGATTTGGTAGAGGTAAGCGAGTTTGAATGTGAACAGCGAGGTTACTCCTGATCTTTTTAGCAGAAACATTCCACTCATACCTGTAGCCCGTCATCACAAGGTAGGTGTTTCTGCATGTCTGGAGCCCACCTGACTCAGCTCGCCTGCCTGACCTCTATCCATCTAGTTTCTACCGCACAGTTGCCCAATCATTACAAAAATCTCAGGCACTTGGAAATTGAAAATGGCGTGATAACATTCCATGGGGAAAAAACAGGCTCATGTGACATGAAGTTTTCATATGTTGGCTGGACTGTTAATGTTTTAAGTTAGTCATGCTTCTGCATTTGTGAACAAGGCCATTTTTTGTCAGAGCGATAGGCTCTTCGTGTAACGAGCTGCATCAGAATATGTCACGGCTTTTTTTTATAAAATATACTGCATACTTGCTTTGTATCGCGTGTGCCCGAAGGATTTGAATTTACATTGGGTTGGCCTGACAATTTGTGTGTTGTCTGAGTACGCTTTTATAAACATGTTTATAAAATGTTGATAGTTTTTCTCAATTATTTTTCTCAATGTTTAGTATTTTTCTCCATCAAAATGACGTGGAGAAGAAGTACATCCCGTTTAATCTTGTGTGCACACATGCTGCTGAAAGCTTGTATGGAAAGTCAGACATGAACAGTTTTTTCTGGTGTTTTAGGTGAATGAGGCATTTGCACCTCAGTATCTAGCAGTTGAAAAAGTTTTGGGCCTTGACCCTGAAAAAACCAATGTCAACGGAGGTGCCATCGCTATAGGTCATCCTTTGGGTGCTTCAGGATCACGGATCACAGCTCATCTGGTTCATGAATTAAGGTATGTACGTAGCCGAGAGCTGCTGGTAGCGAATGCAGTGCTGATGTATTTACGCCTCCGAAAGATTTTTGACTAAAATCTTCCGGTTGACTAACTTAAAAGTTTCCTCGCTAAAGTGTACCACTTTCTGTACGAATTTGTTACCTTTGTGCTGTAATCCAGGTCCTGCAGCTTGCCTCATACTCCATTCTGTTGTCGTGACAGGATTTTTTGCTTTCTCTAGATCTGATCCAAGCCCACAGTAGTCAGTGGGAAGGTTTTCTTTATTGACATGGCCTCTGAGCAAAGTCCATTCTTTTTGTAACAGGGTGCATTTGTCATCACGTTCTTTATCCTTCAGTCCGTTTTCAGAAATTTTGACTCTTTTGGCTTGCTGGATACGCTTAGCACCATTTTAATCTGAATTATCCTTTTTTTCCCCCCTCAGGGCAGAGATCCCTGTATCTTTTTGCTTGTACTTGCAAGACTGTATGAGTGTTCAACCATAAAGCCTCCGTTAATTTGCACCTTGCGGAAAACTCTTTCTTGGAGTGTGGCTGTAGAAAACTTAGCTTCTAAAAACTACTTTGGCAATAAAATTATCTTTTACTTATGTCAGTTTTAATAGGTGTTGAAACCGCAAGTATCCCATAACGTCATTCCTTGCCATTTTGTATTCCTAAGAACAATATAACTTATCGTCTTCTAGATAGCAAAAGACTCAGACCTGCAACTCTTTGTTTTTTCTACAGAAATATTTCAACATCGATTGAGGCTTCATGATATTTTTCTAGAAAAGGAAGAACAGACACATTCTAAAACGTCATCTTTAGTAGTACCTAGTTGATAGCAAGCTTCCTTTCATAAAATGGGGACAACAGCTACTATAGTTTCATAAATGTAAATAATTTTCACTGTTACTTTTTCTGTACAGGCGTCGTGGCGGGAAATACGCGGTTGGGTCAGCTTGCATTGGTGGTGGACAAGGGATTGCTCTTCTCATTGAGAACACAGCCTGAGAGATTCTGGAGACCGCAGTGTTGCCGGAATTACTAATTCCCTGAGAAACTTCAGCCTTTTGTGGCAATAAATCATCACTGCCTGCCTTCATTTTGTGCCATTCCTGCAAGGTAAAGGAATAGCTGAGAAGTCTGAATTCTGAACAAAAAGATTCATTAATGTCTTTTCTAACTAAAGGAAGTGTAACGTCAATATGATTTCACACTGATGAAGTATTTTCTAAAAGCCTGTTTTCAATCAAAGTTAATGTATTTCTGTAGGCAAAATTCTTTTAATTTCCAGAGGAAGTTGCCTGTCAAACTTTCACCAGACCTGCCTTAAAATAGCAGTCAGCGCAGCTTTTTAAGCGAGTATTGCTTAAACTCTTCCTATTTCAGCTACTGCTGCTGTCTGGCACATGTGCCTCTTTTAGCATCAGGAAATGTGAAAATTTAATTGGAGACCTTCCGAAGTGTACACTGATTGTAGATTGATGGCTATAACCTGTACCCTGCTGTTTTGCAAGGGCGAAGAAAACGAGCGAAAGCTGACGTTTCCATTGTGCCTCCCAAAAGAACAATAAATATAACAGGAAAAAAAGGGCTTGGTGTTCATTTGTTTGCTTCACTGTGAGAAATCACTGTGAGAATTGTTGCTTTTGGTGAGTCAGCATTTGGTTTTGGAGAGACTCTTTTTCCTGGATGAGGAATAACTGGTGTTTACTAGGTAGTTTCTAGAGAACGCTAGCAAATCTGCCAGCCTTCCAAGAAGTGGAGTAGTTGCATCTAACTGTGGTGATGCATGCTAACTGCACACATACAGCAACTCATTTCTGAACTTCCTCTGATAGTATCATCCGTATCTCCTGGGTCACTTAATGTGGGGCTGTTCTTAGCTAATTTGTGAAGTGCACATCCGAGCAAGTTGTCTTGCCTCTCACAGGCAGCAGAGTTCAAGTTATGAATCGTTTGACATAATGTACATGACATTTGGATGAAACAAGATCTCCGTTGACTCTGCTCGCTGAAGTCCTCTAGACTCACTGTAGTGTGGAGAGCACCTTGCAGCTTGCTCTGATGTAGATGTCTGCATTAGATACTCACAGTTAGTTGGGCAGATCAGAGACGCGCTTCTCCATAGCCGGTGCTGTGCTACATAGACTAAAACAGTAGCAAAGACTTCAGGTTTTACTCTTTCTCATCCTCTGTCCGCTGTCGAAATACTGCTTATCTACAACTTCTACTTGCCGCTCCGCTGGCATGAGCCGTGACGATTGTGAAAGACGGGAGGTGATTCAAAACCTGACTGCCTAGCCTAGCAAGAAATTCAGGTCAAGGCAAATATTGTTACAACTGATGGATAACAGTTGAAGTATGCTGATCGCCGTTCCTGGGGTTTTTATGGATGCAGTGTCTTTAATGACTGTAGAAATATTTAGCGCTGTTTATATGGATTAAAAACACCCCAGCTGCCATAAGGCAGCAAACCAGATGTTCATCTAATACAGTATCTGTTTTCCTCTTTCTACTGTTTCTTGGTAAGTTAGGCTTACTGGGGTTTCACTGTTGAAGAAACAGTTGCCCCATGGATTTTATAAAGCAGGATGTTTTCTATTCTTAGTTCCTTCCGTAACAACCAACTAATTCCCTCTTCCTTCTTAACTGTGGATAATCATTGAACTCTTATTTTTGAAGAACTGGCCGCAGTTTTTCCAACATCTCATCCCTGTGTAGTAACAGTTCTTCCAGAGCCCATCGCTGTGTACGTACAGTAAAGAATAATCCCCTTCGTGTACTTTATTTTGCACATAACATTTCACTTCCCCCTTTTATCGCTCAGGTTTTTGAGGTCCACGTGTAATTCTAGCTGTGAGAGTTGAATTTGGTCATCCCGAAATAATTGTGTATTTTCTGCAAAACGCATCATGATGTCCACCTCTTTTTACCACTGAACATATTATCAGTACAGATGATTGTACATCTTGCTAGTAACCTTTCTTTGCTGTGTGAGCCAACTGCGTATTCCTGTATCGTTCCATTTTTATCCTCTTCATTTCCTACAGGAGCCTCTGATGAGGGGCTTTGTCACACTGAAGTGAAACAGTGAAACCCTTTCCCATGAAGTTACTGGGACTTAATGTATTGCACTTCTAATACATGCGACTTCTTCCACAGCTTCCAGGGGTTTTTTGATTAAACCGTTGAAGGGTTGAGACCATTGGCAATCGCTCTGTGTAGACAACCAGTCAGCAAGTGAGTTGTTGGTGACTTTGTATCCAGGGGCAAGTCCTTTTTCTGAGAGGTGCACGAATGCTCTGGGTTTTGGGGGAATATGCTGCATTTCCTCTTCTGTAGGTCCTGATTTCACTTTTAAACGTAGAGTGTGGTATTCCCAGAAGTGCAAAACCGGGTCCTATGCTAGGTCATGCACAAACACAGTTTGCTGTGCTTCAGAATCTTGGCTTTTTCTTACCGAGTTATTATTAAAGATGAGCACAAGCACTGACATTTGATTCCTGAGCCAATCCGCCACAACATATTGAGGATTTGATCTGAGCCTGTCTTTACTAGCAACTCCAATCATTTATTACAGAATAACGGCAGTAATACCTGATCCTTGCACGTCATTCTAAAGTATGTTCTCCAGTTCCCCACATAATAACAATGGCAGAACTGTGTTTCTACCTTTGGGAAATGAAGACATCTTACCGAGAGCAATCTGGATTAGGGGAATTTAAGTGTCCTGGAAGGAGCAGAAGATACGGAGGAAATGTGTTAGATTTTAGAGGGATAAATACATACATTGATTGTACCAAGTGCATACTTTTTTTTTTTTTTTCTCGTTATAGGCTCAGGTGTATTCTTTATTTTTGTGCAAGTAGTCTATTATACAGTATAATGAACATGTTAATTTTGTCTTTCTTGAAAGGTATGAGAAAAGAAAGCGTTTGTGGAGATGATTCATTGCCCGCGTAAAGCTGTGTGATCTTTCCTCATAAATGTAGATGTAGCTTTCTACCAGTGGGTGGTGTGTTTTAAACACCCTGCAGATCTCACTGTATTACAGAGACATTTGTCCTCCTTACAGGAGCACAGCTTTCCTCCTAAGTGCAGGCTAGGTTACCCTTGAAACTGAATCACCCACAATTTCAAGTCCCATTTCTCCTTTTGTGGGTTTTAAACAGGCAGGTGCCCCGATACCAACGCATCTTTGCTACTGTAAACCCCGCAGTCTTTGGTGCCTCTTGATTTCAAGTGAATTAGAAAGCATCTGATGTTTTAGAGTGGGTGCCAACTGCAATTTGAGAGGACTTGTTCAACAAGATGACTGAAGTACCATATCTGGCAGGAGAGGAAGAAGACAATAGATTATATGATTCCTTTGTCCAGGAAAAAAAAAAAAAGAGAAGCTGTTAAACCTTAATCCTAAGCAACCATATGTGAAAGAGAGAGAAGGTACAGAGACCTGATGGAGATAGTCTTACTTGTTGCACTTGTTTCTGGATTATGTATAAGCAGTTCTGTTATGCTGCTAGTGGAGCTCCAGTAATTAAGATGGGATGTTGTGTAGCATTCTACAAAAAAAAAAAAAAAATTGACAAACTGACATCTTGAAGCTCCTAAAGCGCACAATTTCAGGCAAGTCTCACCTCATTGCGAGGCTGTTTCTAATAAGCTCTTCCTCAATCTGTAAATCCAGACATTCTCCATCTGGTGTGATGCTGTTAAGCTGGGCAGGGCTCTGTCTCGCCTCACCACCTAGCAAAGTCTGTGTCGTCCAACTGGGTCAGCTGGATGCTGCACAGGGATGCTGAGGAGGAGCAGAGGGGAAATTAATCCTTCTGAGAGTTCACAAGCTAAGGGTTTAGTAACGGCAGCGCAGTTTTCCTCTTCTGAAAACAGCTACAAGGAATGAGTGCTAGTGATGTCTTTGCTGACTTAGGTACATTTACACGAAAAATTAAATGGAAATGAACAGGTAGATTGGAGCATGAGTTAAGTCTGAATTACGCATGCGATTGTTGGTTTTAGTTTTATAATGGATAAGTATTTCTCATGGAAAGAGAGTTGAGATAAAAAGGTAACATTTTTGAACTTATTTAAGGCTGTTGTTTGACAACAAATCCAGCTGTAGAGCTAGTACTTTTTGCTTCTGTGAGCCAAACCCCATGAACTATGGGGGTGGAAGAAGCAGGAAGACGGGAGAGGTTTTTTTGCTTTTATTTCTGTGTTGCTGCCTGATAACCCGTGTGAAACATTTCTCATTCCTGTTACTAACTAATCAGTTAACGAAGCTTGGAAACACCATCTGACTGCATCTGAAAGGAAAAATCACCCAAGTTTTACTTTGAGAGATCTTAACACTGACAGCAAGCTGGAGCTCAGAATTTTTATGGTGTTAGGTTCTTCTGCAAGTTCCTCGCAGTACTGTACCCAAACATGTTCCTTCAGTGTTGAGTGGATGTCTTCTATTTCACATATTTTCTCTAGCAGTGTATTTATTATAGCTGTTGCCAGGGAGAAAAAAAAAAACCAACTGAATCCCTTTTTATAAATATTTAGCTCTGGTATACCATACATGTGATAAAATCATTGGGCTTTTTGTTTTGCTTGTAAGAATATTTTACACTACGGTGTTTTTCCCCTCTGCTGTGGTTATTTATAAGTAGAGAATTTTCAGGTCTTGAAAAAGGATTTGCAAAATCTAGAGTGTGAAGCAGAAGACAACGTAATTTAAACACAGAAGGGAGAACTTAAGAGATGGCAGAGCATTGAAAAGGTGTGTTCACTGGACCTTTAATTGTTGAATTGACTATTAAACAACTCATTTTCAGGAGTTTTTTCTCATGCTCACAAGGCTAAAGTTTGTCACCTACACAAAACTCAAGTTATGCTCTTTTAAAGAAAAAGTACAGTCACTGGACTCCAGAAACTTCTAAATCATATTTTAAGAGTAATAATAAACCCGTGAGATTCAGCAAATCTACAATTGGTAGAATGGTAAAAATTTGACTAATTTGGAGAAAAGCCTATAAGGTTGTGGTGAACAAAAAGCAGAACTCGGCGTTTACGACTACGACTCCCAACAGTCGCAAGTGTCAGCCTTCAAATATTTAAGATTCAGGGGAAGGTAGGAAGGAAGTAGAGTATGGA